ATAAAATGCTGGACCACTAGCAAAGCCATCATCTCCTGGGAGCTCTCAAGACAAAACAGCACTCCAATACAAAAGAATTAGGTGTTATGCTTTTGTTATTGTTGTAGTAGTGGTGTTATCATGTTTTCCTCTTGTCCAAGCACTAGGAGGTGCTGCTGGTAACGCTGGAAGCGTTTCCCCACATCTGCAACTGCTACATCCCGAGCAGGGACCCCTGCACGCTGTGCAGGCGGTCACCTCGTGCTGTGGGGTTATTAAATCCTGGTGGAGCACGGAGACAGAGCCAGGCACCCCAACAGGCAAGCGGTACCTCTGCACACCCTGTGCTGCTCGTCCTCCCTTTCTTACGCAAAGCTTGACGCTTAGCGGAAGGCTGTTATTTTATTTGTTTTGTTGTGTTGTTTTGGGGTTTTTTAAATACATATTTCAGACAAACAAACAAACTAATAACTCCCACAAGTTGCCGTGATGCGTCTAACCACATCCGCGGTGCTGTGCTTCCAAACAGATGTTGCCAGGATTCAGCTGAGTCGCCAGCAGCGTTAGCGAAAGCATGTTCAGATGCAAGGGCTGATAAGGAGTCCCTCTGTCCTCGCTGCTGCTCTGCCGCAGCCCCTGCAGCCGAGCCTCATCCTCCTGCCAGAACAGGACCTTTGGAGCACCCCAGCAGTGGTCACCTGCGAAGCCCTTCCCTAGGTGTGAAGCAGAGGCTTTGCAAGAGCACTCTGAGTGCTCTGGGAGGTTATCCAGTTGTGCACAGGGCTCGTGCAATGTGGATCTGAGTGCTAAAACTGGGTTTACTTATTCTGGAGTGGACCCAGCTTGCGGTGAAGACAACAGGAGGGTTTCCGTTAGCTTCACTGGCAGCTGGAGATGGCATTGCAGTGGTACGTTGCAGGGTCTGGTTCTGATTCTCTCCAATCCAACAGCAAAAACTTCCTTTGACTTCATCAGGAATAGGGTTGGGCTGCCCATATTTTTGTTCGAGAACAAGCCAGTCAGCTGCACCTCAGTGCTGACGAACGCTGTACAGCGACTAGATAATAAAAGCCAGAGTGATCTTCCAGGAATACGTGGGGTTTCTCCAGTCGTGGAGAAAAAACTGTCAGGTTTTCCATGAGGAGAGTGGGCTGTCCTCCGAGCCCCCTCCTTGCGTGCAGGCAGGGGAGCAGATAATCAAAACTCATCTCAGAGGTAGGAGAGAAGGCGATAGAGGGACCTTGATCCCTTCTGCTGGGGCTACAGTTGCAATGGCAGGTCCAGGAATAAAGGGGTGTGTTTGAGGGGGAAAAGACCTCCCAGATCTGAATAACTCCTCTGTGAGATGCTGCGGATGGTGGGTGATGGGGTGGGAAGAGAAGGAAGCACAGCTTCCCTCAAGGGCATGGCCAGCTTTCTAGGGTGAGTGCAGGCCTGAAGGCACCTGGAGCTGATGCTTTCCACCCCCTGAACAAGCAGATGAGGAACAGCAGTTCCTCCTCGCTGCCTCTCCCCAGCTCTGGAGGAGCTGGCTCACAAGCAGGGTGTTCAGCTGGCGCTCTCAAAGAGGTTTGAATAGCAGAAACGGGGTGATTATTTTGTTAGGACTGTACTTAAGCCCCCAAAGCTCGTTCCACAAAAGCTACCAGGAATTGCTATCCAGTGCTGATGACTTCCAATTGCTCATCTGGATGAGAGCTGGCAATTTGGCAGTGAAGCCTGTCTCCCTCTGCTGAGCCACGTCCTATTTCATTTTCCTCCTTTGGAGTTTTACCCAGAGCCTTTTTGGTACAAGGGAACACCATGGATCCCTTGCCAGCACGCTGAACCAGTAAGCTCAGCTGCAGTAACCCGTTACGTCCCCAAGAATCTAGTCTGCAAAGCAGTCCTTTTCCCCAAAGTGACTGGGGCTTCAACTGTTATAAAGAGGATTAAACGCAGACAGCTGTTTCCATCTTACCTATGAAGTCTGCTCCGCTGACAAGTCTGCCACGAGTCACCAGGCTCCACGGTTAATCTTCTCTTGCTGAGTGCATGGCTGCTATGGAAGGGGAGCTGTGCTACTCACACAGGTTTCTACCTTACTTTATTTGCAGACCTCTATGCTTTCCCCTGTGCAGCTCCATTTGACAACTGCTGCTCCTGAAATGGCTCTGCTCCATCTAGGTTTCCTTCAGGAGAAAGGAGGAACCTTCGCTTTCATGTCGGTCCCTTTGGAGAGCTCTTGAAACCACCACCTCCACCACCCCCAGCTGCAGTGCCCTTTCCTGGGAGCGATGGGCGAAGGCAGTGGCGGGTGGTGCAGGATATGTTGGACGAGCTCACGCTCATTTTATTGTCTTTCTAAAGGGATTGTGTTGTCAGGGTGGACGCTGGAGGACGGCTCTCCATGTCTAGCCCACCATTTGCAGGGAAGCCGTGTCCTCTCCTTCCCCAAGGTGACACGTCTGGTGGAGCATCACTGCACAGAGCTTCATCTGTATTCCTGGACGGGGCAGCTAATGCAAACACTTGAGTCTGAGCTCTTACAGCTGCAGCAGTCGGGGGTGTCCCTCAGCGCGGGGCAGTCCAGGGACACTGGACTTAGCACTCTGTTGCAGAGAGAAATTCTTGCTCAAGAGGTTTTTCTGCTCCTTACTTGCCTCGGCTTGCTCCTTGCAAACACAGCCCGTAACTGAGGGGGACCAAGGAAGGTTGCTTTTCCTGCTTATTCATCCCACTCCTTACTGCTTGTTTGTACTCGAAGAGCACCTGAGCCCACAAGCAGTGTGCGCACACGCGGCGTGGGCCCTGTGCTTTAACGCCGAGAGGACGGGTGTCACGGGGGGAGAAGCACAGAGCGGACAGCTTGGAACGGAGCCTCCAACAAGGCATTCCCAGAGCAGTGCTCCAGCAGCAGGACCATGCTGCCCATCCAACCTGGGCTGTCTCCAGATCTTCTTCCAGGTGCTGGTGGGAGCCTGTATGTGCAATTTGAACAATGATTTTCTGAAAGCCTTTTAGAAAGGCTGGAAACCGTGTGCCGCACCTCCAGACAAGCCTTAGCTAAGCTTAGGCTGAGCCATCGCCTGTGTTAGGGGCGCATTCAGGCATTTGATGCTAGTGGTCTATAATTCTCAGCTATAAAGCCAATAATTCAGGAAGGAAGGTTTGATAGCCTGTTACCAATCATGAAATAACTGATTCCACTTTCTCTTCAGCTATATGTTCATGTTCTCCCTTAAAGCATGGTTCCAAAACTTCCTTCCCTGTGGAGGATTGCTGAAATCACTGCTTGAGCTCTGGTGAAGAAACTTGTCAGCCCAGAGTGTCATTGTCATCTCCTTCTTTCTCTTCTAAATGTAGATTAGTAGTGATGTTAAAAAAAAAAAAACACGTTACTTTTACCCACAAGTGAGCAGAGGCTCATGGTATCGCTTTGTAGCTTCGCTCTTTCGGCGCCATCCGAAGCCATATCATGGCTTCATGGCTTTCCCTCGCAAGGCTTGAAGTTGCCTGGAGCTGCTCTTCCAGAAAAGAGTCTCTCCAAGAACCAGCTGCAACTCTCGTTTTCCGTGTCTGTGTACACCAGTGTCTCCTTAGATGTTGAGACATCTCCTCACAGCCTTGTTTTAACTTATCTTAGCAACGGCCCCCCTTTTATCCCCCTGAAAGACGGGTTGGCTGGAATTTGCTCGTTCTTTCCGTGATGGCTTTGATCCTGTGCACAGAAGTGTTCCCTGACAGCCAGACAGGGAAGGGCTGTCCCTAGCCTGAAGGGCTTGGGGAGTCATGGATGAATACTGTGTTTACTTGTTTCTAATTGACTACTGCCTTGCCGGATCAGCTGCGTGTCACTGCAAGCCGAGGTCATTGAGACAATCCTCATTCCTCTACAGCTTCTTCTTGGGACTGGGAGGTTGTTGTTGGAGGCAACAGCCGTCCAGCTGGCGGTGTTGGGAGCCTCATGCGGGCATAGGATGGAGAAAGGCTTTTCTTCTGGAGATCTATCACCAGGTTATGAAAGTTGGGCTTTCCTTATCAACCCAAGAGGAGTGTCTATAGATAAAGAGTTTAAATAGAAGTGTACAGGACAAAGATGGGAGTCCGGGCTCCTTTGCTGAAGGTGTCACCAGGTTCGATGCTTTCTTTGTCCTTAGTGAGTGTTTGGACCAAGGCAGAATCACAGCATCCCAGACTGGTGGGGGTTGGAAGGTCCCTCTGGAGCTCCCCCAGTGCCACCCCCTGCCAGAGCAGGGGCACCTCCAGCAGTGGCACAGGACGGCGTCCAGGCGGGTTTGGGATGGCTCCAGAGGGGGAGACTCCCCCACCTCTCTGGGCAGCCTGTGCCACTGCTCTGCCATCCTTACAGGGAAGTTCCTCCTCATGTTTAAATGGATCTTCCTATGTTCAAACAAAGCTCTCCAGCTTTATCTCCTTGTGGTTAAGACCACCAGGAAGTTTCACAATGGGTTTCAAAGGCCTGAATATTTCCTGAAAACAGAGTGTTGACAGTGGTTTTGGAATCGCCTCTGTCTATTCCCCGTGTGGTGAGATTGTTCCGGTACCCGCTCACCCTCTCTGCCAACGGGCTTCATCCCACAACGTAGTCTCTTTGCAGCCTCCTTTGGGTCTGTCTCGGTGCCCTGGATAATGTGTCACCCAAAGAGAGACCTAAGGACCACAGGGCATTGCGGAGAGGATGAGGGCACTGAAGTCTTTGACCTGTTCACTTTGGAGAGGTTTCTTTTTGGCAGGGAAGATATACTTGGGTGGGTTTGTTTCATTTTGAAGCGCGGAGAGTGAATATGCAAGTTACAAAAAAGGAAGCTGGAAATGGTCACACTTTCTACCCACTCCCAAGCAGCGACCAGCAAGTCCTGTTTTTCTCCTTCTCTCCTTGACCTTTCTGGTTTCCTGCTCCCACCTGGCCTACACCTTCAGCAGCTGCATTCGTCCTGGCTTCAGCAAAGTTTGGGTTTGGGATGACTGTGCTGAGATTTATTTAATGTTATTTGGTTTCTTTCCTCTCCCTAAACCAGAAACAACGGAGCTTGGAAACAAGAAGGAGTTGAAATCCATGCCCTTCATCACCTATCTCTCGGGCCTGCTGACAGCACAGATGCTGTCTGATGACCACCTCATCTCAGGTGTGGAGATTCACTGCGAGGAGAAAGGGCGCTGCCCATCCACTTGCCATTTGTGCCGGCGCCCTGGCAAGGAGCAGCTCAGCCCTACACCGGTTCTGCTGGAGATCAACCGAGTGGTGCCCCTGTACGCTCTGATCCAGGACAATGATACCAGGGAGGTGAGTGAGCCCGGGATGGACCAGCTCCACTGCTATGATCCTGCCTTAGTCACCCTCTCAAATCTGCCTTCCTGAGTCTCTGCATAAACATTGGGTTCCCCGGATAGGGGCAGTGGTTTTGTGTGCATGTTTGGTGAGGAATGCTTGAGGACAGTGTCTGATGGAGCTGGCAGGTCCTGCTGCCCACCACCCACAGCCCTCGCTGACCTGTGTCTCCCTGCCTTCAGGATGGTGAAGGCAGGGGGATGAGCAGCTGGGGCCATGGTCATCCCTGGTGTCCCCCCACAGCAGACACCAGTGCGCCGGATGTGTCCTGGGGAGGGGTCTTAGCAGCCAAGAGTCAGGTCAGTCCTCCACTCCTGGCTCTGCG